CCGCGGCCCCGGTTCCAGCCTGCCCCGCAGGTGCAGCGGTGCCAGGGCGGAGGGTCCGGGCCTTCCCGGCCCCAGCCCCAGCAGCGCCCGGGCCGGTTCCGGAGCTCATCTCCGTCTGACCGCCACCGCCCACCCAACTCCACGGAGAGCCCCTTCTGCCGGTCAGGGAGGCAGGCGGCAGGCCGAGGGGCGAGGACAGCCGGGAGGGGCAGCAGGCGGGTGGGGGAGCCCTCACCCACACGCGTGGCTCCCAGGGCGGGAGGCCGCGGCCGGTCAGCACCGCCTCGCGCTGCGTGGCGTCCCGGCAGCGCTGACACCCTCTCTGGCCGCTTCCCGCACGCCCGGTGCCCTCCCGCCCCGCCCTCCCAGTGGGCAGGGAGGTCCCACCCCGGGGGCCTCTGTTCAGCCTGGCTGACCGGGTGGAAGCCCCACGGACGGGCTCCCTGCACTCCCCGGAAACAAGGAGAGAAGCGGCCCCAGGCCCAGGAGAGCGGTGACGCAGGGTGGCCGGTCAGCAGGCCGCTTCTCTGGGTGCCCCACGCTCCCACCCTCGTCGCTGACCCGGGAGGCCCCGCACGGCCGGGCGTTCCCCGGGGCAGCGGGCGCTGCTCTCCCCAGTCCCGGCACCCCCCGCCGGGTGGAGGCCCTGAGCCCGGTGCGCACCTTACAGAGGACAAGGCTGTGGGGCCCGCCCAGCCCCAGCTCTGGGGGACGGCGCTGGGGTGTGGACATGCCCGCCCCCGGCACTGCAACTGCTGGCTGGTGAGAACCTTCACAGAGGATGCCCAGAAGGGAGCTAACAGCCACACGGCATTTCTGTCCCACCACATTCTTCAAAGCACAAAGGTCCTTCTGTCCCTGGGGCCCCCAAGCCACTGCCCCCCCTGCCCCCAGCCGCTTCTCACAGAGGTCTGGCAGCTCTGGAGGGAAGGCGGCCGCCCCCTCCCGCTCGGGGCCTCTGCCGAAGGGGCTCCCCAGCCCAGGTACTCCGCCACCCCGCCGCCGGCACAAGGGGGTGCGGCCCTTCCCCCGGCCTGCACAGCAAGTCGGCTCCCGCGGCCCTGGCCGGTTCGGGCACAGCACGGGGCCCTTCCCTGCACAACTCCTTCCACTGTCCGATCCCGTTCTCAAGGATTCGGGGAGCAGCTCCTGCTGGGCCTGGAGGGGCCACGGCCGAGAGTCACCTGCCTCGAGCAGGGCCGCCAGGCTGCGCCAGTCTCCCCGCTGCAGCCCGTCTGCCCCCCGGCGAGACCCCGGGAGACGGCCACGCCTAAAGCGCCGACCAGAAAGCCCGGCCACGGGGTTTCCCACCTACTGGCCCTCGGCTCCAGGCCGGACCGTTCCCAGGCCACACCGAGAGCTCAAGGCGCGACTCCCGCCCACCCGGCCCCGCCTTGCACAGCAGCAAGCAAACCACTGGGACGGCGGGGGAGAGCAGGGCCCGGCCGGGAGTGGCCAGGCGGTAGCGGCCCTGGCCCCAAGCCAAGCCTGTGGCCGAGGGAGGCGCCGGAGCTGCGGGGAACCCCGTCCTGGGGCGGAGGGCACATGAGGGCGGAAGAGAAGGCCCCAGACTTCAGCTGTAAGCAGAGGGGTGGAAGGAAGATCCTGGGACCGTCGCCACAGAGAAGCCGTCGCAGAACTCAACGGCCGCCACAACGGACCCGGCCGCAGGCCGCCTGCAAGAGGACGCTGACCCGCCCCGGGTGCCTCAAAGTGGGGACCGGCCTGCGCTCTGCCCCGCGCTCAGCAGGGACCCTGCGTCCTCCAAGGAGCAGAGCAATTGGGGGCACAGAAGGGAGAGGCCACACGACTCCATCCCTAGAAAGTCCTGACTCCAAAAGCCAACGCTCAGATCTAAGGAGCAGGGCCAGCCCGTGGCGGGACACAAAGCCAACAGGCAGGAGGGGCTGGCGCTTGCCACGCCGGAACTGGCCTCTGGCAAGGAAACGCAGAACCAGAGACAGTGAAAACACCTCGGCTTCACGGAGCGCCTCGCCCTACACTAGGAGCCCGACGGGACCAGCGGGAGGGAGAGCCAGCGCAGGGCCATTCGTTGCCAGAGTTAGTGCTGCTACTCTCTCCACACTGCCCACAGCCACGTACGGAGCCCACGCAGCCGCCATCCACGTCCTCGTGGCATTTGTAAAAGTGCGACAGAAACACGTGCTGAAATCCAGGGGCATCCTCACCCACCTGGATCCCCGCGGCGTTCAGCAAGGTGACAAACCGGCATAACCAGGCCCGGGACCGTCCACAAAACAGAACAGAGGCCCGGAGGCCGACCCAGGTGTGCTCAGGGAGCCCGCGACAAAGCAGTCGAGACTGCTGTTACGGGGACAGGGCGTCTACTCAAGGAAAGTGCAGAGAAGACTAACACGTGCAAAAGGTGCAACTGGACCACTATCTCCTGCACAAAAACCAACTCAAGACAGATGTGAACGTTCGGCTTGAAATCATAAAAGGCCTAAGAGAAGCGGAGGCAGCAGGCCCCTAACGTCACACGTGGCAGCGACCTTCGTGGCTATAAGCCAGCAGAGGAGAAGGAGGAAGAGTGTCTCAACCTAAGCAGCAGAGGAAATCCTCACCGAAAAGTGGGGGCAGCGGGGAGAAAGTGTTTGCAAATCATGACACAATGAGCTCGATAAAACAGGGCACTAAGAAACGGGCAGAGGGCCCTCCCTGCCGGCGCGGGAGCTGAAGAGCGCCACCCAGCTGTCCGCCCGCAGCAGCGCGAGCCCATCCCCGGGCAGGGAGTGACCCACGGGGCGGGGCAGACCCTCTGTCTCCCGCTGCTCCCCCCCGCGGTAGATGTCACTGATCTGCCTGTTCTGCTCCCTGCTCTGTCTCTGGTGACTCCTCTCACTCCCAGCACCCTGGCCTGCACCCCAGCTCCTGTGCGCAGAAATAAAGCT